CGTGTACAATCCATGAGAAACCTTCAGTAATGCTAGAACGAGGTAATCCAAAGGAAATAATTAGGGCTAGTGGAGGCATCTTTGCAAATTCCGAGGCTACCCTGGTCCCATACAAGTTTGGGTTACGGGCCACAAGTGAAGCAAGAAGAAATGAGGGCTAAAGATACGTCTGTCTGTGCCATCGCAGCCTTGTAAAAACAGAACGTCCCCGCCGTCTCACAACGAGACAAATTAGGTTTCACGACGGCACACAACAAAGGGTAGAGAGTTATCAAATCTGTGCACGTTCTCTCGAGGACGTTCACTCGAAGTATTGTTAGCTCCGAGGACTCCAGCACTTTTTACTGGCCGTTATGCGCTGGCTCTACCTAGTATAATGGGAATCACATGTGGTCTTCAGCAAATCATGGAGGGGACAGAATTGCTTTGCAGTATAAGCATTTGAGGTTGCTGGTATCATTATTAAATGGAATCATCAAGGAGAAGCTAATCAAATATCAATATCGATTTTTTTCCGTGGGTCAAGTGAGCGGGTCCGCAGCTGCAGTAGCCTACCTCTTCCTCGAAAGTACATGCGAATGGGGATGAAGGCAATGATACCTCTGTCGTGACTTCCGTGCGACCTGGAAACGTCTGTGGTATGCGCTTTAAGAAAACGATGCTCCATTCCCCATCCCACCGTAAACATTTGTTTCAACGATGGAAGAAGCTCGAAGCGCGGGAAGCTACTCTGCTTCACTAGTCTTAGCCAGCGTGCCTTGTCAGTCGTTCTTCTGTCGTCCTGCTGAGCGGTTGCTCACTTCCGTGGTCTCACACGGTCTTATGGACCGTGGCGCTGCGCTGCCATGTCGCATGAAAGTTGTGCTGTTCGCTAATCATGCCTTATCTTCTCTCCTCTTGTTCTCAGAATGGTTCATCCTACTATATATAATCGGTTATGTCCGTGTATGTTGTGGTGTATATGTGTGTCCGTCTGTCGTCTATCTTGTCTGTCACCGAAATTGATAGCGCCGGTCCTAGAGTAGCAGTGAGAAATTGGTTACAAGAAGTGATGTAGGGGGTGTGACGGGAACGCCATTGGTGGGTGACAGGAAGTGATATCGCTTGATAAGATCCGATAAGAGGCGTCAGAACGGGAAGGTGACCATATTCATAATGTGACAGCATCAGCTACTCTAAAAATCCAAGATGTGATATAAGGCGCAGGAAGCATTAGTCGGCTGAATTGAGAAAACTGTAAGCTGCTGATAAAGGGGCGTTAGAAAGGTGAGGCCATCGTATTCACAGCGCAGGTCACAGCATCAGCGAGGCGCACGTTCCCAGCAAGTGATATAGAGGGTGAGATGGGGACATCAACCGTGGGTGACTGGAAGCGATAACTACTGATAAGGGCTGATAAAGGAAGTTGCAGTCGTCGTCGCTGTTCAAGATGGTTCACGCTCACGAAATCATAAGAGATTCGATGATGAGGACATGGTGACGTAAAGGTAATATATCAATCGACAAAAACGGATTAGATACCATCTGCGCGACATTTCTATCACTTCTTACCGCTTTAATGCCAAGTATGAGAGGCTTAAAGTGTGAACCCTTTCCTTCATGTACGGAATCAAGGTGGTCCATTGAAGTATTCGCTTTCGCTATTAGATGCATGAAAGACAGCGGGGGAGGGGGAGCGGGGAGGAGGTATATAGTGCGGCTGATATAGTGCGGCTGAAACGGGAAAATCGAGAAATTCACCAATCAAAAAAATTTTCGCAAATCTGCCTGCTATGTGATGTGTTAGGAGGTGGCGGTCGCAACTGAAGCAAAATAAGGAGGGAACCCAACAATTGGGAGTGGGACGTCCTGTCGGTGGTAACATTCGAGCTCTCCGTGCGACACACACTTTGACATGTATAGTCCTCCTTTTCAGTGCCATCCACGACTTCGCACTTATTTCCTCTTCCATTTGCTATGGACTCACCAGGACTAATTCAGCTTTACCCATTCCGATGTCGCAACTGCGGTCCTTAAGATATGGCAACATTCTCATGGTTGAAAGTCTGTAGTAAGCAAGGGGGACCAGATGTTGGTAGATAATGACTGAAATGAGCTTTTTCAACTCATTTTCCTACATTTTAATAAAAAAATAACTGCCACCGTTTGGCACATTTCAGTGCATTTTACCTCGCCCAAGGGAAGAATGCATAGTGAAGCAAGGTCGGTACTGTAATGGGTTACCAGCGTATTGCATCGTATTTGCGTGTTCTAGTAACAGTGTGGTTTCATATGAACCTTCAGTCAATATTCAGGTCTGTCATGTAGCGACAAACAGAATCAGTTGCTTCTTCACTGGTCTTCTCCTCTTCTTAAAATCGTAGCTTAGATAGATCGGGCACCGGGGATACGTGTAACATGCCCGTGGCGGTCTGGCAGGTACTTGCTCTCTTAGAGCATTCACATCAGCGCGACTTATCCCACAAAGGGGGATCCTCATCCTTCCACACAGTCACGACAACCTCGGTGTCGTCTCCATGCACGCCCACGCTATCCTCAATGTGCAGCACCTGCATCGATAACGAGATCCTGCAGCGAACCCACACCCAGTAGCAGAGAACAACCGGAAGGAGAGCCGGATTTGGCTGCAGTTTAGCGAACGTGGGGCAGCTGATGGTAGGCTAAGGTGTTCAGATTATGGAGAGGCAGGCTTATCCGGATTATCGTGAACAGACTTATAATTGAAACACATGCCAGAGTTCTGAAAGTAAGTTCGGGATCGTGCTTCCAGTGATATTTTGTCAACAGCGATCAACCGGCCGTTTCACTCCCATGTAAAGCGGAGTGACGGGCGTCGGCTCGGTGTCCGAATTAGGCTGCCGGTGCGGTAGAAGCGTCGTCGAGGCTGGAGCAGTAGTAGACGGCAGGCTAGAATGGAATGCCCCCGGGGCACCTTACTTATATATGTTGCTTCCCGCCAGGCCCGCCCCAAATTACCCAATAGTAAGTCAGTAGGTGGTCACTGATCTGGGCGGCCGATCGCTTTGGCAAGTAACTCAGTGGGGGTCATTGATCTCGGCCGGCGATGCCTTTGAACAATTTAGGTCCTTTTTGACGGTGACTTCACGGTGGTAGTGGCCTTTGCAAAGCTATTCGACCTATGCAGTGACGTGCAGGCACCAGCCAGTGTGCAGGGCAATCCCTTCTCCGTAGCCAATCAAATGAATCGCAGCGCCCAGAGGCATTAAACTGTAGCAAGGCTAGCAAGCTAGTATGTTCGAGCTCTTCACTAGCATACAACGGACATGGCAAGGCGTGCAACGCCTCTTGCCACTGCACCACCTCCAGCCAAAAAACCCTCGCTTTTCTGTTCATTGTTAGTCTTCATTATTTTACTTATTTCTTAGCAACTCTTCGGCATAACGCGTGGAGTACACCAACAAGGATTAGCCATGAAATGTTTATCGAAAAAATTCTACAAAAAAACGAGCACCACAAAAACACGTCGGCATGCCAAACTTTTAAATTTACTCGTGTAATATAATGGAATGGCAGATAAAACATGATAAAACCGCTATCAGCAAAAGCGTATCACAAATCACACTGAAGTATGGCGAATGTCACGTATTTCTCCCGAGCGGTGATCCCGAACGTAACGATGTGGGCGGTGGAGCTGAAACACTATTTTAGCCTCTTAGTGTGCACCACTGCCTTGCCCTGCTCCATAACAAGTATGTTCCTGGGTAAGTAGTTGGGGGGGACGGCGAGGAGGCGCCACGAGGTGGTCCCAGTGCACCACGTTTTATGTACTTATGGTCATGTAACTGTTACTTTGGTTCGCAGGGTATATGGTATGAAAGTTTTTCAAGCGTTTAAAGCTTCTGCCGAGCTGTAAATGGCAGAACAAGACATTGCTGCAAGATGCCGCCTTCCATTGCTCAAGAGGACATTGCTTCAAGATAGCGCCTTCCGTTTCTCGAAGGCCCCACACCCCTATCACGGCCCCAAAAACCATCCTCCGCAGAAAGCGTCGCGATTTGCACCCGGCGAACAGATCTGCTCCAGCGCTAATAGGCCATGGAATCATAACGCGGCCGCAAGCGCTTGCAAAACAATTAAAGCCGGAAAATGAGCAGGGGGTGAGGGGGGGGGGGCGTACCAAGGACCTTTTTCAGAGGGGGACGTACTTGACACCGCCATTTTACACATTCAACGATGCAGATACCCCTGCGATTAACTGCAACATCTTTGTGTAGACAAGGGCGGTATATCGAGACTCCAGATGAAGGAACCACAGGGGAATACAAGTTTAGTTCTACTAACTCACTCTGTACCGGAATACTCGAGGAATGAATAGTGAGGTGGTGGAAGTGTCTTTACCTAAAACAAAACGGCGAATTAGGAGGCCACTTTCATTAATTGCGATTGCCTATGGGATAACTTGTCGATGGGACACCACAAGAGGGAACCGAGAAACTAAGGAAGCACAAGAAGTCTTACGATGTTCAGAGTCTTGCTGCCCCAGACAAGCTGATATCCGCGACCCTTCCATGTCCGCGGGACGAGGTGGTGATCGAGCGATTGACCGCCGAGGATGACGCGGTTTGTGACGAGGACTGAAGATTCTTGTGTGGGTCAGTGGATCATGGACGGTACATTGTTGTTGCGGCTAGTCGCTTGTGGCAGTCTGAAATAGCCAACTCAGTGGTGCAAACACACTATGTGCACTTGCAGTTCCTTTACTTCACCTGTAACTGCGAATTGATGGCAACCCAGGCGGATCCTCTGAAAATGGTGTTGTGATATAGCACCCACATACTCGTATTTCCCTGAACATTTCCCCTCCACTCACCTTCTCTCGTCTGGGGAGCTCTAAAGTGATAGTGGTAGTAGTTGAGGAGTAGGAGCAGTTCGAGAAACTGAAAAGGTTTCTTTGTAGAAAACCGGAGATTGTAGTGAGTGTGTAGTGAACTCAGATACCTACCGCGACCGCTACGGTGGTGCCACCAACTCGTTCGACATCAACCGATACCCGGACCGTTTTTATCCTTCGAGATGAACATCAGAAGCAGTACGGAGACAAGAATCACTGCTCCATCAACACTACCACAGATCATTACCATTCCTGGAATGAAGTCGGAAAGTCCCATCAAGGCAAAGTAAATGGTACCCAATTTTACAAGAGGCATTCATTTTTTAGGATCGAGAATGTTCGTGGGAAAAGCGGAAGCACAAATCGCTATGCTGCACTGTTTTCTCGGAGAGACTAAGGTAACGGTCATTCATGAACAGTCTTCAACATTTTTCTTAACAAGGCTGAAACTAAAATGAGGGGCACCTGCGCTCTTCTAGTTTGAACGAGACGGTGACTGAGAGGGCACCATATGGGTAAGTAGAAGTTTGATATGATGCCTTTCCGTTGTAATGAATGGATAATCTGATGGTCAGAATAACCAGTTTTAAAACAACTCTCTACGCGCTAAAGTATACCGCTCCGAGATAAATCCACAGCGCTCAGCTGACGACGTTAGAAGCAGTCATCCTAGCGCTTGGCAACCTTTGCCTTCCCTACTGTTTTCAGTTACTATTTTTTTCAGCACAAGCTTTTGTAGCATGTTGCGACACCTTCTAAAGCTGAGCTCATACTTTACGGCAGCATCCACCAGCGAAGACCAGCGCCCACCAGCGACCAGAGTAAGGTATTGAGTATTAGTAGGGTGCGTTTGCACACGCCTCAAATTCACGATGCCTAATCCAGCTGTCTCCTCCCATCTACTTCCCCATACTCTACCAGCAGTCTGCTACCCTCCTACTTCCCCATGCTCTCTACTCCTGGTCGCTGGTAGACGCTGGTAGACGCTAGATCGAAATCCATACTTTTTAGCTCTTCGAGACGATGATGGTACTGGCGTACGCTATTGGACGCTGGTGTGCGCCGGAAGACGCTCCTTCCGCTGAATCGATATCTATACTTTCCTAGTCGCGTCGCTAACCGACGCTCGAAACACTGATGGTCGCTGGTGGACGCTGCCGCAAAGTATGAGCGCAGCCTAATAATTAACAACTCGCCTTTCCGCCTAATTTCTTTGTGAATTCATTCTGGTGAGTTGCGTTTCAGCAAATGAAGGAGCGTAAATTGACCTTCAGATCCTAGCCCCAGTAATTCTGATTACCAACCCACAATTCCAATCTATTCCGACGCTATCCTTCTCACAGAGTCAGTCCGTGGTCTGGCCACATTCCAAGCGCGGTATCGCGCCTGAACTACCACTACTCCTATTTAGCTGACTCAGCATAGCATCATGGCGTTAAATGGACCATGATTGATAACGTCCCTTCCCGCGTACGGCGGCTCCGACCCCCTTTTTCCCGCCATCACTGTGCACAGCCGAAGCAGCAACAGTTGATGAAAACAGGCTAGCGCACGCGGAACCCAAGAGCCCGCGCTCCACGCCCGCCTACGCGCGCTAGCAGAGCTCAGTGATAACCCCTGTGAAGTGCTGCGTGTTTCGAGAAGTAATTATTGAGCCATACTTTTCGTCCCAACTGCCAACACTTGAACAGTAGCAAAGGCCGATCCGATGTGAATAATCATGAAGCACATAAGGTACACGAGTGGAGCGTCGTAGGAGTGAACGAGCTGAAACAGGCAGTATTACGCTCAAAGGAACTGTACACTCACGTCCACGGTCCTTGCCCTGTGCGCGAGGATGAATGGGCCGGATATTCTGCAGCTAGCCGCCAATTTCCAACGGCTCAAAAGTGCAAGGGATATGAGAGCAGAAGTGTAGTGATTTTTGGGTGCCGTTCCCGACCTCCATCGGCGCTGTCCTCGAGAGGCACCACTTGCTATCAGTAACCATATCCGCAGAGATGCCGCCTTTTGTAGAGTGCATAACACAAGTGACGGGGTGCAGACAAAATAGCGCGACTCTGGATGCTCAGAGCGTGTGGCTAGCCGTGGCAAGCAGGCGGGAGACTGATCTTCCGACCTTCGTTCGGTGCACTTTTTGTGTGAAGGAATCTGACCCTGCTACTGCAGGCCGGATCCCGTCACCCTGCGCAAGGATGGACCAGGTCGATAGATAAGTATATGGCTAACCTCAAGTAAACGTGAGTGATCTATGTGATTCTAACCAAACAAAGTTTTCCCACAATCAACTTACCATACTGAATATAAAGCAAACGAAGATGATTTTCACCACCAAGCACACCACCAGCGCAAAATATGCCCAGGCTAGAGGTGGCACGGTAAGGAGGAACTGTGTGAGTGGAACCAGATGAGCATTATGCCAGAATTGCTGAATACTGCGCCTGGAATGCTCTTAAAGTTTCCCTAGAAATCGCCTTTTGTAGCTTTCTGCTGGGAAGGGTCTGGTACGGATTGATTGTCAGAGCGTTCCATGGGAGCTGGATCTATTGGATGATCAACTTTTCCTAGCCACTGTCCGCTCCTTAGAAGTTTTCGAGCCTTCCAAGCAAGAAGATGGCCGATCTACTAGCCCATGAAGCGCTCTGAAAATCCGTCCGTTTCCTCCCAAGCTGAAGGAGATGAATAGCAAAGCACACCCAGATCTTTCTTCTTTCTTCAGCGATTTCCATGATATCCTTCTCGATATCTCTCTCGGCTTTCTCGAGCGCTTCCATTCTTTGCGAATTCGTTTTGGCAGATGATGGACATTCTCTTACATTACGTGAGTCGCTTTTGGTAGGTGGTGGACCTTCCCTCGCCAACCTTTGGGACTTGGTTTCTTTGGCAGTTCGTCGAGTTTCCCGTATCGCTCTTTGTGAGTCAGTTTTGTCAGTTTTGGCAGACGGTGGACTTCCCTTTACCAATTTTTGAGAATCGCTTTCTTTGGTAGGTGGACGATCTCCTCTCAGCACTTTCTGCGATTCGGTTTTGACCGATGAGGGGCCTTCTTTTGACACTTTCTGCGAATCAGTTTCGGCAGATGATGGACCTTCTTTTGAAAACCTTTGAGAACTGCTTTTAGTGGATGGTGGACTACCCCTTGCCGGCCCTCCAGCTGCATCATCTGAAATAAAATTGTAACTAAATAAAACTTGGTATGATGACTGAGAGTCTGATAAAAGCAACAACGGCCCAGGGTACAGCATCGTTGTGTGAAACAGGGGATCGTACTTTTCCGTTGCTGAGGGGGTCGTATTTGGTCGACAGCAAAACTTTTGGAGAAAAGTAGGAAAATTTTTGGGAAAATCGGGAAATATGG